TAAAAGAAATTAACTTGGGAGAACTCTGTGCAGTCAACAAGGATCTTTCCACCTAGAGCTCAGCAGGATTTACCCACACATGGCCTTAAGCTAGCAAAGAAGAAATGAACACTGGCAGGAATTACCTCTAGCTGCAGAACTGACACCTTTTAGTTAAAGCAATGGAGAAGCTCTTGCATTGTGTAGACTTGCTCCAAAAGCTGCTCAAGTCATGGCTACTTCCTCAGGTGGGTTTGAGATCTGGCTGTAAAAAGGACCGTGTCTTTTTCTATTAATCATTAAAGTAGCCAAGGCAGGGCAGAGGGTGTTGCTTCCAGACTCATTTACTTTGAAGCCAAGTTTCAGCAGGGATGAGCCAGCAAACACGAGGGACCCACCTCAGGCACAGCCTTGGTCATCCTCAGCTGCTGAATGAAAAAAGCAGGGGGGGGGGGGGGCGCATTTCCTCCTTCATTTATCCCCACCTCCTGTTTTTTTTAAGTGCCATTACATTACTGAAAAAATACTTATAGTTAATCAGCACTGCTTAATCCTATTCACTTCCATCTGTGCCTCTTTGTAGCCTGACACTTCTCCTGTCCTGAGGCCATGGAAAGCAGAGAGTATTTAGTGCAGGGGGGAGCTCTGCTGTTGGAGGCCTCTGGGGAGCAGCTGTCCTCAATCATCCTGTGTACGGCCCTTTCATTCCTAGATTACATCTTGTACCAACAGTTTGTGTGTGGGAAAAATCAAAGCTGTCAGAGGCTCCTCCCAGGACGCGCACTGCGCGTAAGGTGCCCAATCACCGGCCCCCGGGTGCATGACCTTTGGGCTTGTGGGGAATAATGAATTGGGGGCCAGTTTTCAAGGACTCACCATCATCGTGCAGCCCCCACCAGAGCTCGGCATTAGAGTAATCACTGACAGGCCAAAGCAATGAAAGCAATCTGTTGTTAACTGCCTGAACGGGCTTGTCCCAAGCCCCCTGACTTCCTTGTGCAGGCACATTGCACAGTGGTAATTCTTTCCTTATAGGAGAAAAAACCCCACCTCAACAGGCTAAAAGATGCCTGCTTGGAGCCTCCCTTCCACTGTGCAGGATTCAAGAACAGAAAATCCAAGAGTGTAGTTTCAGAAACCATAACCAGTAATGAATGTTGAGTGCCTAGATAAATCCTGATGGACTAGAAAGATTTGATAACAAAAATAATTCCTTTAATATTAGTTCTTCACCCAAGCACAGGGTGACAAATCTATTGACTGCCCGCTTTGTTACCAGTAGTTACACATCTACTAACTGTGGTATTTTAGTTGTCTTTTTAGCATTTAAATGAACTGTTCAGTTGGGTGAGGACCAAACTCTGTGGGGTTTCTGCACACAGGATACACTGAGCCTTCTCCAGTATGGCACTGCCTGGGTTTGGGCTTCTGGTTATTTTCAGCTTCAAACACAATCCTTTACACCACAGTATCCTCATACAACCATAAAGTGTTGTTTTATGGATGTGGCAGTAAAGGACAGAACAGGTAAGCACCCAGCTAAGCTCATCACAGGAGCCCATGGCTGATCTAGAGGGCTGATCTTGTTGCTGGCCATCTACGGGTGCTCCTTAGACGGTGCCAGCTTCCCTAGAGCATACTGACTAGCAGATCTAGCACAGCTTTATGGAGGGGCTGGGTGGGCTAAAGGCACTCAGTCTGGTTGCACACCCCACAGGAATGCCCACTGTGCCCAAAGGTGACCCTCTTCCCTGCGGGTCCCTGTCCCTTCGTGGCTCTGGCTCTGCTCAGTGCGTGGCTTCAAGCACAGCCCATCCCTCTGCTCTGGTGTTAATCCCAGACAAGCTCCAGTCTCAGCAATATGTGTCTGGCTCCTACAGCACAACCTGCACTACTAGGACAGAGGCTTTAGTAACCCGGGAAGTACACAGATGTGGTTAAGAGTTCAGGGCAGACAGCATGAGAGTATCACACTGAACTGCTAGTAAGGCTTTAAAAAATGATACATCCACCCTCATATCAAATGCTCCTTTTTTCACTGCAGAAACACCATTGTTGAGGATATCAGCAGTACTAAAAGATGAACTTGTCAAATCTGGGTAATAGTTTATGAGTGATTTAAGCACTTCGCAGTTATTAAACAAAGGCTTCTCTTCCAGCTTGGCTGGGGAAACGCTACTTGGTGCCTAGGCCACGTTAAAAAACTGTTATTTTATGAACAGTGTGGGATGATGCTATCATTCTTCCTTCCACACATCAACAACTTCCTGCTGCTGACTTGTTAGCAGGTATTTTGCAGGATTAAATAACCTGATGTTATCAGGCTGCAGGGTAGAGTTCGGCATGTCTGGACAGATCTGACTGACTGATGCAGTGTCCCCTCTTCAGTACCCAGAGAAATAATCCCCATTTTTCATGCCACACGCCAGGAGGCATTGTCAGGTTTGCACAAACAGATATTTTGACAAGGAAATTGAAGCTTTCACTCCGTTATTTTGTCTCATACTTCTCATGTTATGTCTATTGTATTGCACATTGGTTAAAACAGGAGTGCAGCCGATGCAGCAGCATGCAAAATACATAGACAAAAATGTATTGTCCACTTCATTTTCCTACTAGACAGTACATGTGGATTGAAGAAATCTACTCCAGCTCTGGAAAATACCCTCATGTTCCAATGCAAACCCTTAAAAAATGATTTTTTTAATACCAAACATTCTGATTCCAGCCACAAGCCTTGATGCTGACCCTGCAGTCATTGCCCACTGGCCCTCAGTTGAGAGAACCGCCTCAGCTTGGTTGTATTGTGAGCATTTCGGTTAAGGGTAATAATTCGGTAAGAATAATTAAGTCTACTGTGCTGAAGGGCTGTGCCACATGATCCTCATGTTATCAAGGCAAAACATGGCCATATGCTGGCAGGGTGCTTCTGGTCCTTCTATCCATCACCTGCTCTCATTGCTCTGTATTTGTCCTGCTTGCTTGCAGGGATAAAGACCCTGTATCCATGCCTGACATGGCAGATCCATATGATTTATCTGTAATAATTTTGCTTGTCTTAATGGACTAAGGGCCGTTCCAGACCCTTGAGTACCCTCTGGCAGAAGAAAAGCAAGTGCATCAGTCCTTCTCCAAGCATAAGGAGAAGCAAAGAGCAGAATAGCAGAATGGGTCCTTGCACTGAAACATTTCTAGTTGTATCCTACCTCATTTTACAGATTTCCAGTATTATCTTCATTTTGAAATACATATAATGTCACATATAATCTCTGAAGCTGCCCCGTGAGATCTCATCACAGAGACCATGCTGCAGGGCAGAGGTACACATGATCTCTGATATTTCTGCCCCACTCTGCCTGTCCTCCACAACTTAAGGGGTGCAAAACACAGAGCATGTTTCTTAAACAGCTCTCAATCACAACTATATCAGCATCACAGTCCCAGTCTGGGCTGTCTCTGTTAACACTAAAACAATCTTGCGACATGCCTTGAAAAATGAGGACATTTGGAGGATGAAATCTTGGCACTCTGCACCTGAATGGTGAAACTCACATTGCTTCAGTGGAGGCTTTTCTGGTCTGGGGCACAAGGGGAAATCATGTGTACGGTGCAAGTCCCCTCTTTTGGAAGGGAAACTGTTGATTTAAGGGTCTTAGACCAGCTCGGCAGTGGTGGTGTATCTACAAGCAAGTTAATAGCTGGTGTAGGTATCTATCTCCAGTATGAGTTATGGAGTTGTTAATCCTCCACAGGTTTTAATAATCATTTAGTATTTAGTGAATACGCTATATTATAAATGTTTTATTAAATCTAAATTAAATGCAGATTTGGAACATAAATGTGCTATTGAAATTTATGAGGGATCTTAGTAGAGAATAATTTTTAGGCACTGCTGTGAAAGCTACAGAATATCAGTTTCCAAATTAGTATGAAATACTGCGTGTTAGTTGTCTGTTACTAGAGAATGTGCCTGTGGAGGTATGTCCTGAAACCCCCATGTGATCCCAAAACTTAATTCATCAGCAGGAGTTTTTAGGTCTGTAAAAAGCAAATGAACTATTTCCATGTCTGTGCAGTGCTGTGTCACCTAGAATCACTGCCTGTGGGTCCTACCTTCTCCGTGCTAACCATCCTGAGGTTCTGCAGAAATGCCATGCTCATCCCAAGGCTGCAAATGTTAGGGCTGATGATACTTGCTTGGACCGTCAATGTTCATATCCAACATCTAAGGATTTCCAGCATGTTATGGGTTGCATTACCAGATCTGATACCAGGATTCACAGAATCCCAGACTGGTTTGGGTTGGAAAGGACCTTAAATCTCATCTAGGTCCAACACCCTGCCATGGGCAGGGACACCTTCCACTAGACCAGGTTGCTCCAAGCCCCTGTGTCCAACCTGGCCTTCCAACCTCCATGAATGGGGCATTCTCAAGAAAGGATGATTAGCACTAAGTATGCGGCTCTTTTCTCTTCGTACTTGTTTACTGAATTGTTTTAACCCTAAGGCACTTCTGACAAAGCTCAAGACCATTTCTGACACAAGTTGAGACAGAGGCCACTTTCTGCTGGCTAGGTCAGTGATGAGCTGGAGTCCCCAGCTCAGCCTGGTCCAGCTCTGCACAGCTCCTGGGCACCACAGCGCCAACACCCCCTGCAAAAAATGGCTGGAATTGTTCACTTAAAACTGAAGACAGATGAGAAACTCACACCAACATGAAAAGGAAGAATACAGCAGAAGTATGGACACACTTGGCATCGCTGCTGCTGAGAAACACCAGTCAGAGTACCTCAGGTTCCTTGTGAGAAGCCGAGAACCTGTCAGTAACAGGGCAGAGTCCTGCAGAAAACCAGGTTTCTTTTTCCCTGAGAGTGATCATCAGAGCTCCTGCACCCCTCACTGCGAAGCCTGGAGATGTGTTGTTGATAAACTCAAGGAAGCCATTCCCAATAAGTGTCAAGCACATCACACACCATGAGGCATCATTAGAAGACAGTATTCTGTGTGTGATATGCCCTTGCTAGAATTTACATCAACAATATTGTGCATTAATTTGAAATACTTCCTGGGTTTTTAAAAGAAGAAAAGCAAAGCTACAATTCCAGCCAACTTAGAAAGCTGTTAATGGCTGCAAAACCTGGACATCATTCACACTGCAACCACTTTTTGGCTCAGATGGTTGGGCTCTGTGGTATGCAAGGATCTCATTTTCTGCAGAAGAACAACAGGTCATCAGTGTTGCAAGGTTTAAACCCTTCAGGCAGAGCAAAGCTGTGAGCTGAGAAATGAGCATCATCAGTACCAGAGGCAAGAAACAGCATCTGCCTAAAACTCCTCAGCGGCTGGGAAGTTAGAGCAAACTTTAGGGAAGACAAAATAGTGGAGAAGCAGCTATTCAATCCAACGGTTGGGCTTTATTTTACAGTCATTCCAGATTTACTTCACGGTCTGCACCAAAAATTAACTCAGATCAACATATGTATATGTATTTCCTAAAGGACCACCTCTGTTTCTAGCGATTCCAGGTGCAATTGTAAACCTTACCTTAATCAGGCACTGTGGAAATCTGCTCCCATTCAGGCAGGGAAAGAAGGGGAGAAAGTGGCAGGGCCAGGGCAAGCTCCTTTGAGTGCTGGTATGAGCATCCTAGGTAGTGTCTAGAGGCAAAAAAGAGACACTTTTGATTGACTGGGTTCTTCCCGTGGAGCAAATCAGTGTTGATGACTTCCTATCACTTGTAAGACTGACACAGCTACAATTTCTGTTTCCAGCCCTGCACTTAATTAAAAGACACTCTGCATCCAGAGTGATGTTATTATACAGAATGCCTGTGTTATCAAATAATAAACTAACTGTCGCAATATTGGCTCAAGGCTCGAGAATTTTCTAGCCTAGGAAGATTAAGACGACTACAGTTCAAATAAGTATGATTTTTGACTAATTGTTTGCAGAAATGGCATAGAAGCAATATGACTTGTTTGAGGAAAGTAGTAGGATTTTCCTATACAGAATTCTACCTGAAACATAGCTAAAAAATGAATGCTCAGAGCCCAGGCTTGCTTAAATCTATACATTTGCATTCACATGAAGGAAAGCTGCACTTACAAAGATGAAGACCTGTCCCTTTAAAACTGAAATAAAACAGTAGTTACTGCATTTGATTCAATCACTTGGACCTAGATTTATGTGCATTACAAGCACATGGGTAGCTCTTCAGATCTAGTCTACAGATAACATACTAGACCTGTACACGAGTCTTTCCTTTCCCTGCACGATACCCATAGATATATACACACAAAAATTCACTCTACAGAACTCCTAAAGGCTCCCAATGCTTTTTCTGTCTATTAATATATGGCCATTTCTATACAAGAAGGATCACAAAGACCACCGTGTCTCCACCACTCACTTCATATGCTCCTGTGCTGATCTCCATGGGTGACCTGCACAAGCACCCTCTCTTCTGTGGGCACTCAAGCTGCTCTGTAGCATGTTGAGCGTGCAGGCAGAAAGATCTTCGTTCTCCATTCCAGCTGAGTCAGAGGCTCAATATGTGACCTTCTGTCACTTGGTCTTCTTACATCAAAACCAAAACCGAGTTTAAAACTAGGAACGCCCTGAGGACCAGATGCTCCATCTGAGCCAAACCTTTCTGGGTAAATATATTGCAAAGAGCACAAATCATAGCATTTCAAACTTTGGGAATCTGTATATATTTAAACATATACAAAATTCTGCTGTTTCTTGACAATAGCTTCATACTGTAGAAGAACAGATATCCAGCAGACTGAAATTAATAATGCATTAGAACAAACGCCAGTGCATTGTTTCCCATGTAAGGAACTGCCTGGATATAAATAAACCCTTACTCATATTCTGTGATTTAAATCACAGAATCGTTTTTCTCCAGAGTAACAATTGCACCTTTCATAAAAATAAGACATAAAATTTGCTCTCAAGAAGAAATCTGAGGAATTAAACTCTTGTGCACCAGTGCGTTTGCTGTCCGTGTATTGAAACCACATAACTGAAATGCAACTAAAACCTCTTCCTCTGAACATCCCCAAAATTTTAGGAGAAGAATTACTCGGATGACTGAAATTCAAGCTAAGGCCTATTCATACTTTTGCTGTTCTACCTAAAGGTACTGTATCCACAATGTGGCCAAATCACGTGTTGCCTCCTACTAAGCCCAGCTTTTCCTTTTGCAGAATGCAAGCAGTTTGCAGTACATGGAACTTGGTTGCAAATATTTGCCCAAAATAACAACTTAGCTAAAATTCCAAGGAGATGAACATGGATAATCTTCATACAGAACCTGCCTATTGGCAATGGGACACAATACGGCAGCAGTGAGAATGTGTTTTGCTTTGCCTCTTGGGTTACAGCCAGTAATCAAAGTAGCTCATGACTATTCAAGTTCACTAGACAACAGACAGCTGAATTATTGCACATTTGCACATCTCTGATGGTACCTTCACTTAACACCATAAAGAACCCAGGCAAAGGTTTAAAACATCATTTTAGAAACCTGAAATAGAAAGAAAAAGTTCAACTTAATAACCAAGTTAATAAGCTGCATTGTTCCAAAAAATATAGGTTGCTTTGCATTCAAATACAATAACAAGATCTTTTTGCCTGTAATTTCACAGTGGAGAAAGTTAGTTGCAAAGTAGATTACTACCCACTTTATATCAGCCCAGAGCATTTTAGCATATAAAATATATGTGCAACATACACAGCATTTGGAGTGAACAAGAAAAGAAAACAGATGATAAAGTATTTTCCTTTGCTTATACTATCAGTTTGTGAAAACAACTGTCTCATGAACAATCCATTTTTAACAAGCAGAATTTTATTAGTGTGCAGTACAGGAAATTGTGGTTATTTCTCACAGAACTTTGCTCCATGTCAAGCACTGATTTCCTTTTTATGTAAATGAGAACCTATAAACTGATGCAATTACCCTCCACACATTCATTAGTTTAAATGCTGGGGTGCTACAAAAGTCATTTACCTTTCATACTTCCTGTTAGGCTACAAGTCAGCTCTGAGGTTTAAATGTTGTTTAAAAGTTCTTGGCTAATTGATCACTTTAGAGATGCTTTAAACACAGGTAAGGCTTTTAAAGTAAGCTTTCTTAATGGATGAATTGCAACTATCCATCATTCTGCTTGCTACTTCCCTACCACCACCCCATTAAACCTAATAAGTTCTATTAAAGCTGTTAACATGTGTCATCTGTTAATGGAAAGTGTATAATGAACAAGGCATGAGGGGGACCTGGGGGCTCATAGAAGTAAAGTTTAGAACAGAAAGACAAATTCTGACCGTTCACAAAGTTAATGTAACAACAGGTCAGTGTTCCAGGCCTTTCTTGAAGACAACTGCCATTTAAAGCCTTGTCTGTTCAGAGGCACTAAGGTTAGATTCACTGGCGTGTGTTGTATTTCAAATGCTTCATCAGATGAAATGTAGAAGTTGAAAGGGAAAAAAATGCATTTCTTTTTGGCTTGAGAAAACAGTGTGACACATGACAAGCCTGGATCTCTTTTGGAGAGGCTGTGCTCTGTATTACTTGAGATTAAGTTTGATCATTCCTGAAGGAACACAGAAATCCCCAAACCTGGATGGCAAGGGCTGTAATAGTTGCTCTTAATGTCTGCTGTTAGCTGATTACTGACATCTTGAAAGCATTGCTCAAGCAGGCCCTCTTACAAGCTTCTGTCATGTGGATGCTCTTGCAGATGGAGAGCATGCATCATAGAGCGTGGGTGACGGAGAGCTTCAAGGACCAGCCTGTAATCAAAAGCTTTGAACTGCTCCTAGCTTGTGAGACTGCTTTACTTGTTACTAGGGGGACTATCAGATCATATTATAATGACCAAAGCCAGCCCATGTAGTAACAGCTGGGAGTGTAATCCAAAAATTAGCTCATTAATTCACAGGAAAGTATTTTCTACTCATCTTTCATTACAAAAAATGTGTCTGCTTGTTAGTGGAACCTAGAGCTTTAACGGGAACCTTTAGAACATTAGCAATGCACATGTACTTTTCTATGCCTTAGTGGGAGATTTATGAAGTTTATTCTCTAATCTCTGTTTACAAGCAGAAATATGATGAACATAAATCATTTGAAATAAGATTTCAAGCTACAAATCCACTTTGCTATTTCCCAACGTTATTATGCTATTTCAAACCTTCAATTAATTCTTTTCCTTGTTGGCCTGCTTGTTTTCAAAAACAATTTCACTCCACTTGACCTTTGTATTTCTTGGAAAAATGTTCAAAGTTGGAAATAACTCTAGATGTTGTCTGTTAATGCTTATTTGCCATACACGGCATGCTAAACTTGAGCTGAAGCTTAGGAGCCCCAGAGACATACAAGATGTGAGGGGCAAATCAGCCCAGCTACCAGTAGGTATTAGCATCACAGTGATACTGTGATCATTACTAAGGACAGTCAGGCTACTCTTCAGGTGGTGACTCTCACAAAAACCTCAAATTAAAACAAAAAAGAGAAGGGAAAAAGCCATGATATGTTGCCAGCTCTTGCAGAAAACTGTTGTTGTTAGAACATGTTTCCCATCATAGGACCAAACAGTGCAATGACACTGTAAATTAAATGTTTATACAGTACATGAAAAAGCACAGTGCATAGCAATTGTCTTGCAAAACATTAGTTTATGCACAATGAATATATTTTCATAACACACTAAGTTGTATGATTCTTATAATGAAGAAATCAATGAACATAAAAAATTAGAGATCTAAACAATAAAGCAGTTTTGCATAGTGGTTTTGCACTTCAACAGGGACAAGACAGTTCTACGTGCCTGTTCTGGCACTGCAATGAAATGAGCAGTCACCCACATGTGAAAAATCACCTTGGCATATCCCTTGGTTTATGGTCCCTTTCTCTTTGGTGTCCTCATCACCCTTTTGCACAGCACAGGAGCTGAAATCACGTAGAATCAACCAGGTTGGAAAAGCCCCTTAAGCTCACCCAATCCAACCGTTCCCCAGCGCTGCCAAGGCCACCCCTAACCCATGTCACTAAGGGCCTCGTCTGCAAGGTGTGTGAACGCTTACAGGGACGGTGACTGCAGCCCTTCCCTGGGCAGCCTGTTCCAATGCCTGAGCACCCTCTGGGGGAGGAATTGTTCCTCATCTCCAGTCTAAACTTCCTCTGGTGCTACTTGAGTCTGTTTCCTCTTGTCCTATCCCCTGTTACTTGAGAGAAGAGACCAGCCACCTGTATGTATATTTAAGATTACTATAAAGTTTGTTTATTGCCAATTTGCTGCAAAGCTTAAACTAAAGTGCTGCACACCAGGGCTGCAGTGATGAGAGGAGCACCCACACTGCCACCCACTCCTGGTACCAACCACTGATGTTAATATACAGCAAATACATTTAAGCCAATGGACACACGGTTAGGAGATGCAGCTACTGCTACACCCACAAATAACCTATTCTGACTATTCTCCCCCATGTTCATGTAATTACACCAAAGTTTAGATTTCCAGCTGAAGTTGGTGGGATGTGCTGGTTTGTCCGTACTTGACCAACTTTCCCTTTGAAGCCATGTCAGGGTAGATCATTCTGGTCTGCATCTCTAAAATGTTAGCCATTAAACTAGCCTCAGCATTCTTTC